ATAAATGAGGCCTACCCAAACCCTGCTACCCTAAAACATGTGACTCCAGCATTCCTCAGGGCCATTCTCCACAGGACCGGTGTGGATAACATCACTAAAGATGACAAACTCAGTCTTTTGGAGTACATTTTAGGGGATGAACAATACAAAGAACTTGAGGGTCTTCACCTCCTTCCACTCAGTGATGGCTCTTTCAGATATTTCACATACGAAGAGGAAGACACTGCTTTGATTGACAGCCATGAATTTCCAAGGTAGGGTTTCCATAAATGTATCAATATTTAAAATAAATGTTACATAAAGTATAACTGAAGTTGTCATTTCTTTTTATTATTTTGAGTGGCAAGTTTTTCCATTGTTTTGTTACATTTAAGGCAAAACTAGCACTTATTGTTACGTCTGATAAAATCAAAAAAGCATACATAAGCTGAATAGTGCGACATAGTGCCACATTTTAATTGCAGCAGAAATTTTGGTAATTAGACATCCAAAAAGACCTGATTTACTGTTCGACTATGTTCACCAAAAAAGGTGGACAGATCCACTGGGCTTATAAGATTTCGAAGAATATTCATATATTGAATGAAATTGTAAACCCAAGTCGTGACTCGTGAGCAGAGATGGGCAGTAAAATGTTACAAGTAACGCATTACTGTAATCTGATTACTTTTTCAAGTAACAAGTAATTTAAGGATTACTATTGCAAAAAAAGTAATTCGTTACTTTCCCGTAAACACCCTGCATTACTGCATTACTAAACCGTCGTAATTTTGTTTGTGAGAGTGTCTCATGACAATGATGTAAGCATGCATGTGCGATGTCTGTGGCAGCAACAGACGTGCCTAGATCAACAATGAATAGTATGGAATGCAGGAGAGAGAACGACCATGTAGAGTTTAAAACTTGGAAGTACTGACATTAATTTTGATTCTGTAAAAAATGACAAAAACATTAGCGTCCGCTGTACACTCTGCGTGGGAAGAAAAGTTCTTTCTACAGTGAAAAATTAAACTGGGCAAGTGCCTAGCAAGCTGCCATGGGAATGTGAAATTCACAGATAAATTGAATTAACAAAATTATCTTTTGTGCAGACTCTTGTTGCCCTTCTGTAAGCACCTCTTCATCCCAAATGATCTGACTCCAACCTGCAGTGCCCATCTGAAAAAACTGGCCAGAAGAAGTAGGTCAAAGTAGTATGCAGAGACATGAAAGTCATGTGTACCTACCATACACACATTTTTAAAGAGCACAGCTTTTAAAATCTCTCATTATTTTTATTATCTGTTCTTTAGATTTCTTCAAGATCATCAATGTTGATGCATCCCGTGTAGCTGAATATGCAAGAAGGTATTTGCCACCAGACTGGAAGCAGACAGGGAAAAACCTTGTTGCATGGGAAAACGGCAACATTCAGCATCCACCTTTGGACTGGTTTCAAGAATTCTGGAGGTTTCTCAACA